AGGACAGTGAAAAGTGTGTGGAGTCTCCATTCTCTGGCACCATGTTGGTTTTAAAACCAAGATGTCTGCAAAAATATAAATTGACTTCCATTGCCTTGGCCATGCATCAGTCAGAATCTTACAGCTCCTTAAGGAATCAGCCTCTGATGGAGAATGGGGAAACTGCTATCCATCCAGTGAAAGAGCTTTACTATCCGATTCTTAAAACTGTTATACTTCCTGGTGATTCATGGTTCAGCCCCAGTGTATTGGATGATAGCAGGTGAAAGCCCTGCATTAAAAAGGGAAACAGAAAGCAAGAACCATAGGCCAGTTAACTTAACATGCCACAGGGTAACTACTGGAAAGTATTATTCAGCCAGATATAGCAGGAGACATCAATCAGTTCAAGTTAATCTGAGAATGTAACATATGTCATTGATAAAGGGGACTGTACTGAGCTTAGCTTTTTTTAATACACTAACACATTAAAGGTCATGGCAGAAAGTAAAGGCTCGAGGTGTGGGAGGAAATGATTGATTGGGAGCACTGTGCTTTATTGAAATGGAAAGCAATTGAAAGCAGCACTTACATTTATGATTCATCTGTGGCTTTCAGTTACTTGAACAGTTTCTAGTCTTTCCTTTGGCCCTAGCTGTCTCCTCTTCACCATGGATGTGCAATCTCTCTGCACATCTATCTCCCATCAGGATGGTCTGAAGATTTGTCTGCTTCTTCCTCAAACAGAGACTGAACAGTCCCCATCCACCACCATTCACTTCCACCAGGTGGAGCTCATTAATAATGTTTTTCTTAAACTTGTCTCTCTTTCTCTGAGTCAAAGGTGTGGTTCTGGCTACCTGAACAGTTCCCAGTTGTATCTGTCTCTTTTTGGGCTGTGTGCGATATTCCTTAGACCAGGTCTATTTAGGGCCCCACCCACAGCTCTTCTCCAATATATGGGTGATGCGATTGGTGCTATTCCTCCTCTTGCCAGAATCAGAAAGAAAAATATTAATTTGCTTCAAATTTCTGTCTTTCTCTCATGGCCCCCTGATCTGTTTTTGACTTTTCCCTTCCTTGACCTCTCTTTTCTATTTCTGGGGCAAGGTTGTACACCAATAACCATTACAAGCCCACTGACTCCCACTGTTACATCAAATACACTTCCTCACTTCCTGCTTCCTGTAAGAGTTCCACTTCACTCTCCCTGTTACTGCATCTTCATCTGTTCTGATGAAGTACCCTTCCATCTTCACGTATCCAAGATGAGCTCCTTTGTCCTTAACTGAGGATTCCCCTCCTCCACTCTGGTTAACAGAATCCCTACTGATATACTAAATCAATCAACAAAAGAGGCGATAAAAGTTCAGCTGAGAACTTTAAAAACGGTGGCAGCCACACTGCTGGTAGCTTACGGTCAACAGTCAAATCCTCTGAGGAAAATCAAAGAGCAGTACGTAAGACATTTCTGAATGTTAAAACAATAGAGCAGGAGTAGCTGGAGATTTCATGTCTCAAATATCAATTAGGATATGAACACAGTTAAATGCACTGAGAGCACAACATTCTTGAATTATATTTCACTAACCACTTTAGCATGTAAGAGCCCAATGACAGGGATAGCAATTCTAGATTTAATCTTCTGAAATGAAACTGGGCTTGTGGATGAATTGTCAGAGAGAGGTTTTTTTTTATCTAGTGGCATTAGTACATTTACAGTTAGCATACATAAGGAACACAGCAAAGATGAGATTAAAACGTTGAAGTTTGGTCTTGATCAATCTTATGAATCTGAGACATTATCTGGCAAAGTGGGACTGGATGCGGATATTTGAAGAAAATGTAATGGTGAATCAATGGGAGGACTCAAAAGTGAGATACAGGAGACACAGTGTAAATATGACCCAACAACCGAAATTGTTTTACTTCCAAATCTAGAGCCCCATAGGGGTCCCCAAGCATGCAGGGTGAGATGAAACAGTGAAAGAAAGATACTTATCATAACAAAATATCCTAAAACTAAAGAAAGACTATTAGAAAATCTAAATGGATGTTGTAAAAATTTTAAAAAGCTTGCAAAGGGCAAGGAAGCATAGGGAATTTATTAGTGGGTATGATTGACAAAAACAAAGTTTTAGCAGTAGATGAAGAGCAAAAAGATAACTATGAAAATTATAGGGTTGTCAAACATAGAAATATTGAAGATAGGAGCAGGATGTGGCCATTTGGCCCTTCAAGTCTGCTCCACCATTCTTCACGATCATAGCTGATCATCCAACTCAATAGCCTAATCCTGCTTTCTGCCCATAACCTTTGATGCCATTTGCTCCAAGTGCTATATCTAACCACCTCTTGAATACATTTAATGTTTTGGCATCAACTACTTCCTGTGGTAATGAATTCCACAAGTTTACCACTCTTTGGGTGAAGAAATGTCTCCTCATCTCCGTCCTAACTGGTCTACCCTAAATCCTCATACTGTGACCCCTGCTTATGGACACACGCACGATCGGGAACATCCTCCCTGCATCTACCCTGTTGAGTCCTGTTAGAATTATGAGTACGCCCTCATTCGTCTGAACTCAAGCGAAAACAATCCCAACCTAGTCAATCTCTCCTTGTACGTTGGAACGGGGAAGTACAAGATGATTGATATAAGCCAGTGCACATTCGCACACTAACACACATACACAAACCTTGCTAATCCAATGCAATACTTGCTATTTTATTACTTCAATCACTTTGAATCATACAACCGTATTTGCAATTTATTCTATATTGAAGAGTATAAACCTGTTGTGGTTAAGATCTACATGAAAGATTTGTCTAAGGGAGCATCTCATGAATTGGCATTGAAGCAGAAAATTTCCCTTGACCGAAAAACTGCATCAAGGGAAGATAGATCATAAACACTGTGTTGGAGAGCCGTGTCCCATTGTTTCTATGACCATTAAGATAGGGCTTTTGGAAAAAACAGCCCAGACAGCTGCTCATATTTCTTCAACTATAACACTGAAGAGAGAAGCAGGGAGATAGCATTTTGAGATGTCTTCATTCAGGACCGTATTGTCATTGAAACCAACTAAATGGTTCAATACCAGGAATTTCCTAACATGACAGTCACAGCAGGAGAAATTTACTCTCCACACTCAGACTTGTGCACTTTTCGATTGATAAAGAAAACAACCGATTCTTTATCATAAACAAAAGTGTTTGGACTTTGTGGATGAGTCCAGTTACATTTATTTGATATTGAGCAGTATTTCAAAAAAAAAGTAAGAGTTTGAAAGGAATGAAATACAGAAGGTATTAATGTCATGTACGAATGGGAAAGTCAGGATCTCTGAGTGTTTGGAGACTCGGGTTTATTTTAACTTTTTATAGAGCTAAAGCGTTAATCCTCCCTCCCTATCTCTACAGAAGCTGCCGGACCTGCTGAAAGTGTGCAACAGCTTCTGTGATTGTTGGAGATTCCTAGTGTGATCAGTGTCACACTGTCTGAGTATTAAAGGAATCCCTGTGCAGGAATCGGTGTTGAAATACGGAATTGGAAGTAACACAGGGGAATGTTTCAGGAATTCAGAGAATCTGAGCATTACTGAAGTTTCACAAACAAAAACAGAAATAGCTGGAAAAGCTCCGTGGGTCTGACAGCATCTGTGGAGAGAAATCAAAGTTAACGTTTTGGTTCCAGTGATCCTTCCACAGAACTGGATCCAAAACATTATCTCTGATTGCTCTCCACAAATGCTGCCAGACCTGCTGAGCTTTTCCAGCAATTTGATTTGATTTGATTTATTGTTGTCACATACACCTAGGTACAGTGAAAAGTTTTGTTTCCTGTGTGGTACAGGCAGATTATAACATTCAAGGACATACAGACCATAGGGTGATTGAACAGAGTGAGGCTTACAATGCTATGTTTGCACAGGCGGTATACAAAGGCAAGGTCAACATTAGGTTTGAAATTTGAGAGGTCCATTCAGAAAGTTTAATAACACCGAGGAAGAAACTGCTCTTGAACCTGTTGGCACATGTGTTTAAGCTTTTGTATCTTCTGTCTGATTGAAGAGGTTGAAAGAGCTTATAACCGGTTGGGAGGTGTCTTTGATGAAGTTGGCTGCTTTTCCATGGCAATGAGAAGTGAAGATGGGAGTCATTGGATGGGAGGTTGGCTTGTGTGATGGTCTGGGCTGCGCTCACAACTTTCTATAGTTTCTTATGGTCCAGGGAAGAAAAGTTACAGTACCCAGCCATGATTCATCCAGATAGAATGCTTTCTATGGTGCTTCTGAAAAAGTTGGTGAGGGTAGTTATGGACATGACTGAGGAAGAAGAGGTGTTATTGTTCCTTCTTGATCATCATATCTACGTAGGTGGTCCAGGACAGGTTGTCAGTTATCGTCACTCTGAGGAACTTGATGCTCTCAAACTTCTCCACCTCAGCTTCTGTTTTTGTTTCTGATTTCCAGCATCCGCAGTTCTTTTGTTTTTTACTGAGTATTAACATAGAATCATAGAATTCCTACAGTGTGGAAACACACCCTTTGGCCCAACAAGTCCACACCGACCCGTGGAGTATCCCACCCAGACCCATTCCCCTATAACCCACGTAATCTACATATCCCTGAACACTATGGGAAATTTAGCTCGGCCAATCCACCTAGCCTGCACATCTTCGGATTGTGGGAGGAAACCAGAGCACCCAGAGGAGACCCACGCAGACAGGGGGAGAATGTGCAAACTCCACACAGACAGTCACCTGAGGGTGGAATCGAACCCAGGTCCATGGTGCTGTGAGGCTGCAGTGCTAACCACTGAGCCACCATGCCACCCGATTACTTTCCCAGTTCCACAATGGAATCCTTAGATAACTGTCATAATGAAAACTAAGGAACAATTTGAATAATGTGTTTTTCATAGAATTACACTGTTGTATATTGGTAGGACAAGTCAACGATCCACAAACATTCTTTTGTCTTGGGGTTTTTCTGGTGGTCAGTTTAAAACTGGAACCTTGCAATGGCCAGGAATCGAACATGGGTCAACTGCCTAGAAGGCAACTGTGCTCACCACTACACCACCATTGCTCATTGATGGGCCTCTGAGTGTTCATTGATGAAGCTGATGAAGATGGTTCGACCAAGGACATTTCCTGAGGAACTCATGCAGAGATATCTTAGAGCTGAGATTCCTGTCACAAATGATGACAACCATCTTCCTTCTTGCTAGATATTACTGCAACCAGCAGAGAGTTTTCTCTGGATTGTCAATGACTGTAGTTTTACTTGGATTTCTAAAGACACACTTAGTCAAATGGTGCCTTGATGTTTAGGGAAGTTACTCTCATTTCTCCTCGTGAGTTCAACTTCTTTGAACTAAGGCTGTAAACAGCTGAGTGGCAGAACCTGGCAGAACTCAAACTGGGTGTCAGGTTATTTCTGACCAGGTATTGCTTTATACCACTGTTGATGACACCTTCCTTCACATTTTCATATGAGAGAATGGACAGATGAGTCATTAATTGACCACATCAGATTTGCCGTCCTGTTTATGTGCAGAACATGTGGGTAATTTTTCACATTATGGGTACATGCCAGCACCGCAGCTGGACTGGAACGCCTTTACTAACCATATGACGATTTTTAGAGACTGATGTTCTCAGGATCCACAAACTTTGCAGTATCCAATGCCTCCCGTCGTCCCATAATGTAGGTGGAGTGAAGTGAACTGTCTGGAGACTGGTATCTGTGAACGTGGGAACCTCAGGAGGAGGCTGAAATGGATCAACTCCTCAGTATTTTTGGTTGAAGATTGTTGCACATGCTTCAGCCTTCTCTTCGGTACTGATGTACTGGGCTTCCCTATAACTGAGGATTTAGATGTTGGAGAACAGCCTCCTCATCTATTGGTTTGTTTAATTGTCCACCATCTTTTATGACTAAATGTGGCAAGGCTGCAGAGCTCAGATCTGATGCAAAATCAGAAATTACTGGTGAAACAGAGCAGGTCTGGCAGCATCACTGGGGAGAAAGCAGAGTTTCATTGGTTATGTGATCACTTAGCTCTGTCCACTATCTACTGTGTAAGCAAGTAGTCTTGGTTTGTACCCTCACCAGGTTGTCTCCTCATATACTGTATTCAGTGCTGCTGTTTGCATGCCCTTTTGCACTCTTTACTGAGCCAAGGTTGAACCCCTGGCTTCATGGTAATGTTAGACTGGGAGATATAGAGTCAGAGAGTCATGCAGCACAGAAACAGACCCTTTGGTCCATTTTGTCTATGCTGACCAAACATCTCAATCTGAACAAGTTCAATTTGCAGGCATTTGGCCCATATCCATCTAAATCCTTCCTATTCATGTACCCATCCACATGCCTTTTAAATGATGTAATTTTACCCTTCTCCATCACTTCCTCTGGCAGCTCGTTCCACACACCACCCTCTGTGTGAAAATGTTGCCCCTGAGGTCTCTTTTAAATCTTTCCCCTCTCACCTTAAACCTATGCCCTCTAATTTTGGATTCCCCTATCTTCAGAAAACTACCTTGGATATTCACCCTAACCATGCCCCTCATCATTTTAGAACCTATATGAGATCACCTCTCAGCCTCCGACACTCCAGGGAAATAAAAAGCCCCAGCCTATCCAGCCTCTCCCTATAACTCAAACCCACCTGTCAGATATGTCGGGCAGATTGTCTGTGAGCCGTGCTAAGAACAATTTTGCTGCAACTGATAGCCCACTGAACCTCATGGACACCTCATTCCGAGTTGCTAGATCTGTTTGAAGTTTGACCCATTTAGCACAGAGATAGTTTCACGCAACATGTTGGAGTGTCTATAAAACGTGCAGCAGGCAGATTGGTGACAGTGCGGTCAATGATGTTTTTTTCCCCTCACCCCCTGATGCGCCCCCAGTCCAGCAGCTGCGTCCTTTTGGACTGTCCCAGCTCAGTCAGCAGGTGGTGCTGCTGAGTCTCTCTTGGTGATGGACACTGGAGCCTCTCCCACAGGGCACATTCTCTGTCCTCTCTACCTTCAATGTTGTGTTCAAATAGAGAAATTCAAGGGATGTGGTAATTGATAACCAGCAGAGTGTTTCCGTGTCCGTGTTTAACCTGATGCCATGAGGCTTCCTGGGGTCCAGCATCAATGTTGAGTACTTACAAGGCACACCCACCTCTTGACTCCCACAGAGCTATTACCTCGGCTGGCTCTGTCCTGCCAGTGGGATGAGATGATCATTGTGTTGTCTAGGTCATTGACTGGAAAGTGGGATTCTATGAGCATGACTATGTTCGATTGTTGCTGGATTAGTCTGTGAGAAATATACTGCAGGTCAGCTTTGGGTTTTATACAATAAAGTGTTACCACCTCTTTATTCCTTTGAATCCTAAAATCAATCCAAACCAAATTGTTGTTTTTTTCAGTTGAAGATTATGTTATTATTGTTCACTTCAATAATCAGAGTACACACCTAATTAATGTTCAGTTCAGTAACAATAGTAACCAGCTGATTATTGCTCAGTTCACTAACCACAGTAAACAGCTGATTCGTGTTCAAATCAGTAAACATACAGCCTTTGCACTACCATATACATCAAAGATACTATCAAAAAGGTTTGAATCCAAATATAGTGTTGCTGGACCACACTGGCACCTTCTGGAAAAAGTGACCAGCTCCTAACTCCCCTTTGATTAACAACCTGGGAGTTATCATTGAGCTGAACATGATGTGGCCTCATGATAAAGTATTGTGGCTACAAAAGCAGGTCAGGGGGCATACCCAAAACCCCTGACCCCCTTCTTTCAAATAAGCTCACAAAAGCTTCTAACACTAGAAAAGGGCTTATTGCTTTGTAGTTACCATGTTAGTTTGGAGAGAGGATTGGTTGGTGGACAATGAACATTTCCAGCTTGGTGAGCTAATACTAGAGGGCATGCCAGAAGGGTCACTGCTAAAGCCACAGCCATTTACAATCGATATAAATGATTGAGACGAAGGGAACAAGTGTAATGTCTCCAGGTTCACTGACAAGTACACATTGGGTGGGAGAGAAAGCTGTGTGGATGACCTAAGAGGCTGTGAACCGATATGGACATCTTCACTGGTGGACATCAAATTGGCAGATAGAATCTAATGTGGAGAAATGTCCGTTTGAGGCAAACTAACTCACAGACATATTAAAAATCCCCATTCCTTGCCCAGTCCACACTTCCAGAACCAATGACATTGTTCCCCTGCGTGAGGGTAGTTTTCTGATAAGATAGTATAACATTGCAACATGAAGGTCCTGACTGTTACAGAGTTTGCTATATCCCATCATTATCATATACGTTACTGTCGGGATCGTTTGGACTATGTTGAAAACATTGGCAGATTGAATACAATGTGGTGAAATGTTATTCACATTTGTGGCAAGAATAGAAAATTTAAAAAAATGTTTTGTTTTAAAATGGTGAGAAATTCATAAACGTTATTATCCAGGGGGTTTAGGTAAACTCACACTAAAATATCAGAAATTTAACATGATAATTGAGCCAAAATTAGGATAATTATAAATCGCCAGTTATTTCCAGATGATCGTATTGGGAACATGAAGAAGTCTTGCTGTGAATCTGTCTGGGTCAGATCTTCCTTTTCACTGTAGATATTAATATCCCTCTACAGTTCCTCATTCACACAGTCACACTGTCATACATAGATATACAAACTCATTCATTCTCTCTCTGACACACACACAATCTCTCACACACACTGAAACAAATAAAAACTCTCACAGGGACACAGGTTCACATGCACAAACACTCAGTCATTCACTCACAGGCACACAATTGTAGAACATTCTAAACTCACCATCTCACAGAATCACACAACCTTACACACAAGTCACACATACACTCAAACACAATCTCTCACTCAGATAAACTCAAAAACAAATTTTCACTCCCTCACATGCACACACACTCCCTCACAGTCATACTCACTCCCTCACAGTAACACACAAACTTCCACACAGTCACACTTACACCCTCACAGTCACACTCACTCCCCCACAGTAACACACTACCTCACATGTACACTCACTCTTTCACAGTCACACTCACTCACAGTCACTCACTCCCTTACATGCACACTCACTCCTTCACAGTCACACTCACTCCTTCACAGTCACACTCGTTCCCTCACAGTCACTCTCACTCCCTCACATGCATACCCACTCAACCACAGTCACACTCATTCCCTTACAATCACACACTTCCTCACAGTCACACACACTCATTCACATGCACACACAATGCTTCAAATGCACACTCACTCCCCCACAGTCACACTCACTCCCTTACATGCAACTCACTCCTACACAGTCACAAACACTCCCTCACATGCACACTCACTCCCTCA